AATTTATGACTGACCACTTTCTTCGCTGGTACAGAAGACCTATGCTTTCCGTAATAAAATCATCTTCATGCATGACAATGCACCATCTCATGCTGCAAAGAATACCTCTGCATCAATGGCTGTTATGGAGATAAAAGGAGAGAAAGTCATGGTGTGGCCTCCATCCTCCCCTGACCTCAATCCTATTGAGAACCTTTGGAGCATCCTCAAGCAAAAGATCTATGAGGGTGGGAGGCAGTTTACATCCAAACAGCAGCTCTGGGAGGCTATTCTGACATCTTGCAAACAAATTCAAGCAGAAACTGTCCAAAAACTCACAAGTTCAATGGAAGCAAGACTTGTAAAGCTGCTATCACATAAGGGGTCTTATGTTAAAATGAAACGTGACCTGTTAAAATGTTTAAAAAGTTAAAATGTTGTTAAAAGTTTGATTGAAATAGCTTTTGATTTCAGTAAATATGCTGCAAACACAACAAATGACAATTTCCAGTTCTTTACAACCTATAAAGTGTTTTGAAACTTACTGTGTGTAATAATTTGGAACAGTGCATTGGAAGTGTTTTATGTTTAACAAAAATACTGTTATCATTAGGAGGTTTGTTCAATAAAATTTGAATTGTACTCTTAATAGTTGATAACATGAGAATTATGCTATTATTTAGGTAAATGAGAAAAATATAATTTGCATAATAATTTAGAACACAGTATATACATACACACAACAAAAAAAGAAATTTAAAAAAAATTTTACTTACTGCTATAAAACAAAAAAATTTCTTTCATATATTTTGAATAAAATATATTCGGCTACATGTCTTTGGGGAAAAAAAAAAAAGAAGTGTATATTGATTGCTGTGTGTGAAAGTTAGTGTCTACAAACTATGGTGTATACTGGAATTTTATACACACACACACACACAAATGCTTTTATTAAATATTGATTTGTTCCCACTCTCTGCTCTGTAGGGAGAACAAACCGTCTTCATGTCCATCTCTGCTTTACCCCAAGGAGATCTCTTCCACCTATCTGGAGAAGTTAGGTGCCAGCAGGGCTTCTCTCAGCCACTTTTTAAGCAGATTGAAACCTGGAATAACAGGAAGTCAGAATGGTCCTCCTGCTTTTAGTTCCACTGGTTTCTGAATGGATTTACAAAATTTTTATTTTTTTTTTTTTTTTCTTTTAGGTATTTGAGTAGCAATATAACTATCTAGTTTTCCTGTTTAAAAAAAAAAAACACTGCACTAGAGTAGTGGATACTTGGGTTTTTGCCATCAGGTCTTTGTCTCAGAATCTACATTGCAGTTGCACAAAAGTACTATATGACCAATGTATCTGCCTTGGTAGATGCTAGTTTTGGGCAAATGGTTCTGCAAGTGGCTATTTATTCTCCTTAGGTCTCAACTGACATTCTTTTTTGGGCTTGTTTGCTTTTATGTGGGATTCCACAAAAGAACACTTTAAAAAAAAGGTTAGCTTCAATGTTTATGCTATGTGAATAAAAACATGTAACCAAAAATTTTTTTTTTTTTTTAAAAAGTAGGCATTGTCCCAATTTGCTTTATAGTGTATTTCTACACTTGCAGCCAGAGTCCAGAAGTTATCCCAGGTGTCTGCCCTTTGCCAATATGCTCATAAACCAATCATTTAAGCATCAAAACTAAGTTGTTAGAGGGCTAGGTTTTGATAAAAACAAAAATGTAAAAGTTGTCATTTGTTTAGAGCAACATGCTTCTTTAAAAATGTGAATTAGTTTTAAATTCTCTGTTTGAAATTTTTAGCCAAAATCTTTTGATTTTGGGCTAAAATTACTAAAGAGTCCAAGCTTAAAGTCAAAACTGTCCTTAGTTCTAAAGCCAACCCTTTGAACTTACAGCAAGATTTTTGCAAAAAAAATCCTAGCTGCAATTTTGGATTGATACACTTGGGGGAGACATTGCAAAACATATTTAATCTTTATCAGATCAACAGCAGCTGGGCCTTGTTGCATAGATTTCATGAATATAACATAGACTGATATATACACACCCATGTAGAGCCAGATTACCACACGGTGGCATTACCTTGCTAAATACATACCAACAGATTTAAAAATGGTGGGGGTGGGGAAATTATACCACTAATGAGAGCTGACAGAAGGAGATGGTGCCAGTGACATCTAGGCAGGTGGCCATGCTGGACTGGTGGAATTGGTGCTCCAGATCTGTCAAACAGCTGATGCACAGGCCAAACAGGACCTTTGTAGTTTCAAGGCCTACCTGACAGTCTTTTGTATAGTTAACTGTAAAAGGTCATGTTTGGCCTGTGCATCACCTGCCTAGATGTCACCAGCACCATCTCCTTCTGTCAGCTCTCAGTGGTATGATGTGTTTTGTTTTTATTTTGCTAGACCACAGGTGATGTGGAAAACGAAGGTATTTCAGTGGAGTACAGATATCAAGTGATGCAGATATTGAACACTGACCTATGTGGGGTAAAAATTAAAAAAAAAAAGGCAAAAGAAAAATTGTGCGCTTCCAATGAGAACAGATGAGCTGCTCCAAACGTGTTGTGTGTAAACATATAAAAAAAAAAAAAAAAAAAACTAAAATAAATGAGTGTCATGCTGGCTAGCATAAATCAATACATATAAATATACAAACACAAATGTGACTGATAGTCCCAAAAGATGATAAAAAAACATACAAATAAATGCAATTCTTAAAAAAAAAAAAAAAAAAAAAAAAAAAAAAATCCAAAAGTGAAAATTCTTCCTGCTGGTGATTGCAACCAAAATCCCAGTGCTATAAATATTCAATACATGTGAACAGACTTCCAGGTTGACTCTCACCTTCTCGCATGGACTTGTATGTGGACACAGGTCAACCAAAGCATTTCCCCTATTAGTGGGGGGGGGGGGGGGGGGGGTAACATAACTTACTTCTCTGTACTCTTCCCCTTATGAATCACCACTGGACCTTCACAAATGGCACCCGAATTCAGTACAGCCAGCTCTGTGGATAAAGCTCGACAGCCACAAAGTAGACCATAGTGCAGTAGGCCTCTTTAAAAGGCACACATTAAAGCATATGGACTCACATGAGAATAGTGTTAAAAATGCATGAAACAGCGGTCAGAAGCAAAGAATGGAGAGCAAAACCCTGCCTGTCGGTAGGAGCAATGACATCACCTTTGACTCAGTGCTCCTACATCATTCTGTATTGCCCAACCCCCCCCCCCCCCCCCTTCCAAGTATAGTGCAAACAAGGCCCAAGTGGAGAATGAGCAACCTCATCTGTTATCACAACCACCAATGAAGGAACCAGCACATCTGTTTAGACTGCTTTATTTTTTGAATTATCACTTTTACAAAATAAACTGGACCAGGATTAATTTAGTACAAATCGGTCATCTTTACATCTCCCCAAATTTTAGGTGTCCATCAGAAATTTTAGTTTTAAACTGAAACAATTAGCTGACATGATATCCCAGATAATCTATACTGAGACAGTCACACGGGTGTACCAATGCATGTGTGTATGAAGGGACATCTTCAGCTGCCCAGGATGCAAACATGTGCTGTGCAGGCAGCCTGTTGAAAAACTGCACCCTGATCCATGCAGTCAGCTGCCTGCATGCCATGGATGGAACATGTGCATACTGGGCAGCAAAAGATGGCCTTCACATAGGTGTACAGACAGGTACACACTTGTGCGAAAGAAGCCTTAGAGAAACAGGTAAAAAAAAAAAAAGGTGTTCTGTACGTAACACTTTTTGTAACACTGAACACATTTAATAAAATTTAAAAAAAAAAAAATAAAATTAAAAATGAGAGGCCTAGTTAAGAAAAAAAAAATTCCATAATGGGGTCATTTTTAATCTCATGATAGAATTCTGATTGCGTCATAATACATGTTGCACTTGTATGTCTGAGAGGGCGTTCAGTGCAATGCAAAAATTTTAGAGATTAAAAATTCTAATTGTACTATTCAGTTAAACCATGTAAAAAGTATTACAGTGCAAGAAAGCACTAGGCACTCACACCCTACAGCCGGTTGTATGCCACTGCCATAGTAGAAAAGCCTGCCCCCCCTTCGTCAGTGACAACTCTCCAATCAACAGAGTGAGCTTTGGTGATTGCACTGGTTCAGTATAACTCATGCTGAGTCATACCTATAGCTCTCCAGAGAGACCACTGCTTCCATACAAAGAAGCAGTGATCCTTTTGTCACAAGGCCATAGGAAACAGACCAAGTCTGTAAAGACCTATTGTTTTTTCAAGCACACAAGGTTTGGGGTTTTTTTTTTTTTTTTTTTTAAAACATGGAATAAATCAAAAAGTGTAGTTGGGCCATGACAGATAATTTGAAAATAAGATAAAAAAAAACAAACTGATTTTAGCTGCAAGTACAGCTACGTAGATTGCAATACTCTGCAAGTGCACCAAGATCTAGAAAAAAGTGAGCACCAAAATCTAGAAAAAGAAAGTGAGCAACACTCAGTCTTCCTGCATACTACAAAAGTCAATCCTTTAGTGTCTAAAATACAATAACCATCATTAAAAAACAAAAACAAAAACACAATACTCCCGTTGGCCGAGATGCATGCTCTTTTTTATAGTTTGGCATATATTAAAAAGTATTCATATATTTGTATCGTTGGATTAGCTCTTGTATTATACTCTGAGTGCTGGTCATCCTTTCCTTGAGTTCACAATGAAACCTAATTATTCCTTAACCACACTTGTTTTCGCCACGTTTCATACATGGAAACATACATTTAAAAAAAATAAGCAGGATTTCAATAGTACAGTCCAAATAGTAAAAACAAAAACAAATATATAAAAAAAGATTATGCATCTTCATTTGAAAACCAGTGGCGATCCTATTTGAATATAGTGTCCATCTCAATATTTCTGTGACTGTATAATTTAGGCTCCTGAAGGCTCGAGTCCTTGACTGACATAAGGTAAACTGGTTGTGTGATTTCTTTTCCTGGGGGAGCACATGCTCCCCCACCACATTCACTTTCCCCCAGCCATTATTTTCAGATACTGCAGGGCATTGTGGGCTGCGTTTGCACGTGCTGATTCTCTTGTTGCAGCAGAACCATGGCATACAGTGGTGGGTTGGGTGGAGAGTTCTATAAGACACTGGTACAGGCCACTCAAACTGCATTCATCTGCATAAACAAAAGATGAAATCCCAATGAGTACAAGTACTTACATCATAGCAAAATTGATGACAAAATGGCAAGAGCTTCAAAACAGGTGTAAAATAAATGGATGCCAGGAAGTATAGATTTAGGATGTAGTGACAAGTAAAATCTTGGTCCTATAAAGAAAATTTTTACTTCAATTGCCAAAAACATTTCAGGTTAAAAAGGATAAGTGCACCTTTTAGACAAAAAATAAAGGCACTTTTTTTTGCACAGGTAAAAAAGAAAAAGTGCATCAGGGATGTGCAATTCATAATCGCCTGCCGCCCGGGCGAGTAGCTTTTTGCTGCTGCCAGATTGCTTCCACACAGCCCAGTGCCAGCTGCTGCTGTCCCCCACCATATATCCCAGGCTTCGCTTGCCCATCTGCAGGTCTGGGATTGGGTCAGTGGATGTTCATTGAAGCTTCCTGTACAAATATCTACCACGGTGCTCCACAGCACCGTGGTAGTTCATTGAAAATTACAAGCCGACAGCCACTAAGGCTGCCGGGACTTGCAGTTCATTCACAAAGCTCCTGAATGAATGATGCGGCTGTGTGGGCAGAGCCCCACACAGCCATGTGGTTTTCAAATTTGACAGATAGAGAGTACGTGGAGACTTCTGCCCACACTGTCAGAGGGGACGGCAGCGGCTATGGGAACATGTATCATGTTCCCAAAATGTGAACATAGCTCTTTAGATCCCCCTTAAAGGATATGCAAGCTTCCACTGCTGCACTTTTAAAAGAATGTGTCTGCATTGCTGACCCGAAAAACAGGAAATAAGGAATACTACATTTTTTGGACTCATTTACAGCAATTTTCTTCCAAGTCTGATACAGCAGGTCTATTAGCATTTTCACAAGATATGCAACTTTAGAGTGGGAACTAAAATATTTATGCAATTGAGGCAAAAAGATGGACTAGTGTCAACTGTTATCTTGCCCCTTTTAGAGGTCCTATTTATACCACTTCAGTGCCAAGCCAATTCTGACACTTGTCCTACATGTAAAAAAAAAAAAAAAAAAAAAAAAAAAAAAAAAAAAAAAAAAAAAAATCAGCATTTTTTGCTAGAAAATTACTTCAAACCCCCAAACATTTTAAGGCTCTAGAGAATAAAATCGTGGGTGTTGATTTTTTTATGTCACACACATGTGCAGTGGTTTTTCAAATCCATTTTTATGGAAAACGAGTATTTTTTGGGAAATACACACGAATGAATTTTATTGCACAAAAAACACAATATATTCTATTACCAAAAAAATTGGGACCTCCAAATCATTACATTCAGGTGTTCCAATCACCTCTATGGCCACAGGTATATAAAATCAAGCACCTAGGTATGCAGACTGCTTCAAAAAACATTTGTAAAAATGGGTTGCTTTCAGGAGCTCAGTGAATTCAAGTGTAGTACCGTGATAGGTTACCACCTGTGCAATAAGTCCAACTGTTAGTGGTATTATAACAAAGTGGAAGCAACTGGGAAGAGCAGCTCAGCCACAAACCTGTAGGCCATGTAAAATAGAGCAGAGTCAGTGCATGCTGAAGCGCACAGAAGTTGCCAACTAGCTATTGATTCTGCAGACAGACCTCCAAACTGTGTGGCCTTTAGGTTAGCACAACAGTGCATAGAGAGCTTCGTGAAACAGGTTTCCATGGCCAAGCAGCTGCATCCAAGCCTCACATTACCAAGTGCAAAGCAAAGCGTCAGATGAAGTGTAAAGCACGCTGCCACTGGACTCTAGAGCAGTGGAGATGTGTTTTTTTCTGGAGCAATGAATCACGCTTCTGTCTGGCAATCCGATGGATGTATGGTTTGGTGGTTACCAGAATGGTACTTGCCAAACTGCATTGTGCCAAGTGTAAAGTTTGGTGGAGGGCGGGATTATGGTGCGAGTTGTTTTTCAGGGGTTGGGCTTAGCCCCTTAGTGAAGGCAACTCTTAAGGAGTTAAGATATCAAGACATTTTGGACAATTTCATGCTCCCAAATTCTCCCCAAACAGTTTGGGGATGGCCCCTTACGGTTCCAACATAACTGCGCACCAGTGCACAAAGCAAGGACATGGATGAGTGAGTTTGGAGTGAAGGAACTTGACTATCCTGCACAGAGTCCTGACCTCAACCTGATAGAACACCTTTGGGATGAATTAGAGCAGAGACTGTGAGCCAGACCTTCTCATCCAACATCAGTGCCTGACCTCACAAATGTGCTTCTGGAAGAATGGTCAAACATTCCCAGACACGCCTAAACTTCGTGGACAGCCTTCCCAGAAGAGTTGAAGCTGTTATAGCTGCAAAGGGTGGGCCAATTCAATATTTAACCCTACGGACTAAGACTGGGATGCCATTAACGTTCACGTGCATGTAAAGGCAGGCGGCCCAATACTTTTGGCAATACAGTGTAATACCCAATTGTTGTTGAATATCTATGCAGCATAACATCTTTTATATTATACCAAGTCCTGCTTTAAAATTGTGCACGCTCATGGAAAGATGAAACACTACAGTACTTAATCTCCATAGGCAACACTTTAAAAGCCTTTACAAGTTACCAACACGTTTTTATTCAAATTCCCCAACCCCAATTTTTTTTAAATTCCTTTTATTGCCATTAGAAGGGATGAACATCCCTTATAACTGGAGAAGTGACAGGTCCTCTTTATGGAGAAATACACCCCAGATCTTTCCCCTGCCATTAAAAGCATCTGATCAAACCAGTATGCTTTACATTCTGGGAAACTGAAGTGACCAAATACTTAGTACTTCTGGCTCCTTATACAATAGAGATGATCTGGGATGTTCTGCCGGTTCAGTCCCAGGCTCCCCAGTGGGACAGAAGAGCCCAGGAAGGGCAATATCCCCTTCTGCCATACAGAAAAGTGATCCAGCCGCTAATTAGCCACTAGGATTGCTTTTACATAAAAGGTGTATCACAACCTAAAAATAAATAAAAACACAATAAGCTACCAGGTGACGCCTATAGCTGCAGGCATCCTGGTAAAACCACTTCAAACCAGGAAACAGAGGCTAAAACCTTAAAATACATTTTAAAACATGAGAAGCCATAACTTTCCAGGTGTATTTCTGTAAACTCTGTTGTCTTTCACTCACCAATATCAAGATAGCTGATCTGAAAACTCTGCTCCTCAGACAGGTCCTGAAGAAGGCTGCAGAAACCTGAGCTCAAGATGGTTAGGGGATGACTCCTCAGATGTAGGATCTTCTCTCCGGCAGAATTACGGAGGGAGTCCCAAGTACATGCCACACCTCGCCCCCTGCCCCCATCCATCTTTCCCCCTCCTGTGCACTGCAAAGACATAAAATTAAACAGTTCTGCATGGTGCTAAAGGCAAGGAAAGAAAAAAAAAAAAAAAAGTGTACAACCACAACAAAATATACTCAGAATGTGGATATCATGACATAACACTGCAATATGCAGTTCTACTTAATTGTCAAACCCCCACTTTAATAATTTGAGTTTACTGCAATCAGATTACCACCAGGTAAATTGTGCAGCAACCTACAGTATACATACAGTACTTTGACCATTGTTCTTTGCCTTATTAAATTAACCCATTTCTCTAACCTGCAGTTCACACAGCTCAGCATGCCAAGCATCTGTTTTGCCGGTTGTCTGTGGGGTCAACCTGAAGGTCCAGGAACTAATATGCTAATGCCATGATGCCTAACCAGCAGCCCTACACCCATGTGGCCCTTTGAAACTTAATGTGCAGCCCTCATGGGCTCTGGGGATGGTATTGTAGGTTCTCTATCCAAATACTGCCAAGAAAAAAAAAAAAAAAAAAAAACCCCTTTAAACTGGGGTCTACAAGTTAAATGGCTTGGTTTATTTAGTTCACTCTGCCATATTCACCCCCTTTAGGTTTTTATTCCTCTGATCTTTTAAAATGGATCTTGCTGAGGCTCATATATAACAGATGTCTAGCAGTCTCATGTGTCTCTAGTCTGACAGCTTACTATAGCATTACATTTTATGGATTGTGTTCTTTGGTAATGTCAAGGGCTGCAGTTGAGGCAACCTATATCAAAGTTGACCATTACCGTGCCAATACCTTTATGCACCCCCCCCCCCCACCATAAACCTGAGTGTTACCATAGAGAACTGATCTTCTTCAGGTTCCGGCTCCCCGCTCTCCCGGTGTTCTGTGGGTACTCTGTGGATCTGAAGCAGCATTTTGGCAGCAGCATTCCTTTTAGCCAGCTTCTTGGACGTACCACTGCCTGTAGATATAAAGTTCTATAACTACATAGTCCATAACAAACATCATAAAATATGACTGTTCTTAGATGAAAGGGGAGAGCAAGTTATATCACAGAAACAAATAACCCACCCCATTCATCACTAGCCAGATTAGTCAGCAAGTTTCTAGAAATCTATGGACACATCCTAGTACACATGATCAGAAAATCTTAAGACAAATACAGCTTTTGAAGCAATCGTATGATAATCTGATAGTACACAGCTTTCATCCGAAATTATTCAAAGGGACAAGCATGAACATTGTTTGAGTAAGATATCAGATCATACCTTTGTTTAATCAGTTTTCATCTAAAAATACAACATAACAATCACTCCTAAATTTTTATTCAGTCGTACGAGATTTTTCATAACTTTTGTAACCTCTTCATTTTCAACAGACTAGAATAGTGTCTTTTTTCTGAAGATTTTTTGATATAAATATGCACCAATTGATATGGGACATTTATATTTTGTGATTAATATTTGTATTCAGGTCTATTTTGTGCTGTTTATATATTTCAGAGTTTGTGTTTTCACATTCTTTGCACAGCAGCAATTTAGAAGGGTGATTCACTTATTTTGTATTGGCGCAGGAATATTTTTCTTTCGAATAGATGCAACAAACATGGGGCAAAAAAGTTTACCTGATTTTATCTAACTGGAACCATTTAATAAAAGGATGAAACTTAACTCATGTTTAGAAGAATCTTGTGGGAAAAAAAAAAAAAAAAAAAAAAAAAAAGCGCCCGTTTACAGAGCTCAATAAATTAAGTCAAGTCGACAATACAATAAATATGTACAAAACCCCTATACAATACTTGACAATCAATATGTGTCTGAATTGAACAAAGTGCAATGTATTGCAGCTTACCAGTCCTTAGATTTGGTGGCAGTATTAGATTAAGCATTTTTTTCTCTTTATGTTCACCTGACGATCCTGCCAGTAACATGTTCTAGGGTGACAATGTCGACATGCTGTACTGTATTTATGAAGTAGTGTTGAAACCCTAAGAAAAGAAGGGTTTTAGAACTACACACCAACACCTCCTCTCCATAACTTATACAGGAGTTGTTCTGTAGTTCATAGGCAACTGGTGCAAGGTGGATATGACTATCTGAGATAATGCTGCAGAGTTCACAAGAAGCTAGGAGCTCATTGAATTTCAGGCAGGATCAACAGGTATTTTTCTGTACTTTGAATTGACATACTTCTAAAGGAGACAAACATAGGGGGGGTATGCAAGTATTCCATAGATGCACTGAATGTATATTTTTATTTGTCCTGACATACAAAAATAAAACACAGGTTTTTTTATAGCTTAAATACGAACTTAATCCACCTATCTTTCTACATAAAGAAGAACAGTTTCATCTTACCCTAGGTTTACAACTGCAATAAGTGACCAGCTGGGACATTCGCTCCATCAAAAATGTGATCTGTGGCTGTTCCTGCTCAACAGAAGTTAGTTGAACTGACTTTTGGTGAACATGAACACAGAAAATCTCTCAATCAGCTGGCTGCAGCCACTGATTAGTGTATTGACATTTGAGAGTCCTGCTGTCAGAATACAATAGCACAGCAGGCAGGATTCTTCTATCCACCTGGGAATCAGTATATATTTTGCTTAAATGTGATCACTCTGAATAAAGAGTCTGAATGCGCTTGTTAAAATGGCAGCTAGAATACCAATCTGCCCGTTGTAATGTACAGTCTATGACTCAGACATCAGCTCAAGCCTAGGTAGAAACAGAGCCCTGATTAGGTGCACAAGTATGAAATGTAATTGTTTTATGAAATTTCACATCCCACGGTGATGTCAAAAATCCATCCATATAATGTGCAGATAACCGCCATCTCCACTCAACCTCTTCTGATTCATAAGGACAGTGGCTTGATAAAACCTCTGCCTGCTAGTGTACAGTTTCTAGATTTTATTGATGCTTCTCACAACAAAAAGTCTTAGGCCCATCACCCCTGTCATACCAATCTCCAGGAATCTCTCTACACGGCAGGTCATGGTGAACTCCTTCCGGTGTGCTGGCCCAGACTCTTGGGTTACTGTATATTCAGGAAGTCTCCAACCTTTCTGCACCACCAGCTCCTGAGAGGCAGCACAAAAGTGGGCAAATGTTATGCAGAAATGTTCAGTCAATACATTTTTTAAAATTAAACAGTTCAACAGGTTAAGAATGCCAATAATTGTATTTCCAGACACCTGGCAATACAGACCTGGCTTGACACTGTTCCCCTTATACCAAAGCCACAGTTTAAAAAGCCTTCCCTCCCACTATAATCTTAATGTTAAGACTAAAATAGTTAATCTTAATGTTAAGACTATAATAGCTTTTGAATATGGAAGAGTTAACAATACCATAAGTAATATGCTTCCCCTTCCCTTGCCTCTACAGCCCTGACAGTTGTAGAAGCATCAATAATGGCTGGAAGGATTGACTGAAATGCAGACTCACCAAGACGTCCAAGTGGTAATGTCCGGATTTTCTTCTGAGTTGCTGTCTTGCAGATTTACTCTGTAAAGCAACTGCAGGATCCACCTAAGAAGTTGCCACAGTGACTAGTGGTGTGCCAAGGTGTGGTGTACTGTTACTCATACTTAAAGTGGTATTAAACCCGAAACAATATAAATATGACAGCTAAGGATTGGTAAGCTGCATCACCAGATAATAAAAGGATGAAAGCCTAAAATAGAAATGAATGCAGCCATCACATGCAATATAATAAAAACAGTTTGTGTTGGGATGCAGTTAAAAGCAGTGTCAAAAACATACATAAGCACCCCACACACTACCCAGGATAACCCTTTCCAAGACCAGCATGCCTTTGATCATGCTCAGTGTACTGCTTTGCTACAACATAGCAGGATAAGAACCATGCTACTCAATGCACTTATGCAAAGTACTTTATGACAAATCAAAAAATATTTTCCTTTTTAGTCCATCAAGACAGGAAAAAAAAACTTAAGCTTTGGGAAATCCAAAACGTAGCTCATCTAAGGGATGGGAAACAGATAAAACAGAGACCTGCAAAACAGGTCCAAGAAAAATCGAGGACTGGGGACTGCCCAGTGATCTTAAAATTCCTTGCCAAACTCCTAGGCAGCCACGTTATTGCAAGCATTAGGACACAAATAGTGATGAGCTTGAGCATGCTAGTATCCAAACCCACAAGAAGCTGTGACCTGTAGGGACCAATATGCGGCCAGGGCGTTCCCTGCTCTTCAGCTGATCCTATACAAGGGGCACGTATACTGTATGTCGCAGAGAATGACCCAGATGCAGAATTTTGGCCCGTACAGAAGGCAATGTCCTGGTGGGCTTGCACACATGGCTTTGGATCCTAGTCTGAACACATCCAAACTGGACACTTCTCAGTAGCAAAAAGGGAACACCAGACATTAAATATCTGAATTTAGTTAAGACCTGTTCCCCCTGCATACTCCCTAAGGAGGTAGTAATCATTGGCACCTAATTTGGAACACCCAATTGCAATTTCCTGGATTTAAAACGGTTATATAATGTAGGGGTGCATGCACTTATGTGACAAACCTGCATTTTGAGAATTGTGAGAAAGAATATACCATCTCATTTTAGGTGTCACTTGTCCAAGTAGGTCATTTATCTGCATAAAGCTATTTCGGCTGGTATTTTTCTTCCCCTTGGCCTGTAAATGCTTCCCTTACAATATGCCTAGGTCTGCATGAAAACAGGCTAATATAGAGGTGCGTTTATGCAACCCAAAAACACACGTCATACATACCTGCACTGTACAGTGGTTTTGCACAGAGCAGCCTGGATCCTCCTCCCAGGTCTCCAGTCAGCGCTCCTGGCCCCTCCCTCCCATCAGGTGCCCCCAGAACAAGCAGTTTGCCATGAGAGCACCTGAGCAGGCATGCTCCCGAGCCACGGCTCTGCATGTCCATTCACAGAGCAGAGACTCAGACCCATCCCCTTCCTCTCCTGATTGGCTCACTGGCTTTGATTGACAGCAGCAGGAGCCAATAGCTCCCACTGCTGCCTCAGCCAGCCAATCAGAAGTGAGTCCCTGGAGAACTGAGGCACTCGTGGACATTGCTGGATCGGAATGGGGCTCAGGTTGGGGGCCTGCTGCACACAGGTCTTATCTTTACGCAAACAATGCATGAAAGCCACTTTAAGCAACACTACACTTGGGTATGAACAGGCTCAAATGAAATCTATGGGATTTTGTGAGTTGAGTAGTTTGCAGCTTTGAGCTACAAAAGGCACAGGTGTGAATGGGGCCTTGTAGTGGATGTAGTCCCTGTGCCAATTAGGTCAGTTCAGATGCTGTCAATGAAGGAGCAATGCAAGTGGGAATAAAAAAAAAAAATAAAATAAATAAAATAATATATGTTTTGTTACCTGTAGTGCCCCCACAGGATTACATTCTGACTGTTGGGCAGGTAGAGGGGGCTTCAAGTCAATGGCATGATTCCTAAACAGAAAAAAGGCAACATGTAGAATCACTTCTTGCAAAGTGGTTTGGAGAGCCCAGAATAAGCAAATTCAAAGTAATCATTTAGGTGGTTTCAAGTAAGATCCCTCCGTGTATGCTCATAGCAACCAATAAGATTCTAACATTTGATAAGCAAGGACAAACATAAGCATCTAGTGCAGACATTAGAAATCTTTTCTAACATTTGTGGAGGACGAGTAAATGCACAGGTTTGGCCAGCACTTTGAAATATTTTAGCTTAGAGGAGATAAAAACGTCAAGGCTGTTTTGGGGGCTCCCTAAAGTAGTTTTTACTATACATGAACTGGTCCTCTAATAGGTGAGAATGATAATCAGATGTCAATGGGTCACTGAATACTGTAGGAGGCTATCTTGAAAAGTTTTTTTATTTCTTCCTCTCAATGCATATATTTTTGCAGCACAATTGCACTGTGCTAGAAGAAAATCTTATGACTTTCCAGTGAAAAAAAAAGGAAAAAAGAAGAAGTAGTGCCCAATCATGACTAGGCTCATGCAATACATGTCAATAGGTTTCTTTTATCTGTGCAAGCATGCGTATGTAGTATATGTATTTACCCCTTTATTCAGTTTGACTTGCCCTCTCTAAAAATGGTTATAGCTGCATTGAAATTCAGCCGGCATCAGCAAAGTCTCAATCCATATGTGGCCACTGCAGTTGAACAGAAGTCCATCTACTGACCGACGTCCGTTCAACTGCCCTGTCTGATAAAAGCTGCTCAATCAGGTCTTCTGAAAGCTTTTTTCTGCAAGGCATGGTTCACATCAGACAGTGCTTCTTGAAACCAGTAAACCCAAAACAGGTGTGTGTTTTTAAGGGCAGGACAGCTGTCAGCAACACATCCAATATCATCACACTGATTGGAGTCAAGGTTGGCTCACTCCTGGCTCCAATTAGCTCTGGGAGAAGTCATTAGGCTAGGGCCTCACATACTTTTTCCTCCCTGCACTGTGAATGTTTACATGTTATGTGCAATTAAACCATGGCAACATCTGTTTGTGTAGTATTATGTTCAGCAGACTGTTCTATTGTGACTTAGATGACGTTCAGAGCACATTTTATGCCCAATTCATGCAAAACTCCACGTAATCCCAAGGGGTTCACATACTTTTTCTTGCAACTGTAGGTTTTTCTTCACCTCCATGCATTCTATGCATGAAGGTAACCCCCCCCCCCCCCACAGTACAGTAGTGCCCCCAGACCCCCCACCAAAACTTACCCGGGTTCTATCCCTATCCATTGATGTGCATGAGCAGCGGCTCTCCCGAGTCTGTCCCCCTCATTGGCTGAGACAGCAGTGGTAGCCATTAGCTCCCGCTACTGTCAAGCACATTACGTGACCCAATGATGAGAGAGCAGGGACAAGCCCTGCTCAGTGTATGAGTGGGCAAAGAGGTGGCAAGCAGGTTGCTATGGGGGCACTAGGCAGAGAAGGTCCAGAAACACCGGCAGGGGACCTGAGAAGACCCGATCAACTTTTGAATTTTTTTTTTTTTTTTTTTTTTTTTAACATGCAATTACTGACTGCTTATAGTTGCTAGCAGTAATCATGGTGTCCTGCCAGCCAGGAAGGCTCCATCCATGGTGGAAGGAGAGAGAACAAAAAAAAAAAAAAAAAAAAAAACCCACCATCTATGGGCTGCTTTACATGGGCTGTCTGCATTGCAGCACCCAATGGCTCAAGCCACAGACAAGACCATTTACAGACTACAGTCCTTCATGCCTGTACGAACGAGGCCTTATGAAAGTATAACTGGCTGTTGTTCAAAACAAGCAATTCAACTGTAGCGAGTAGACCACATCTTGAGGTTTATAAATAAATGACGACACTTAACACTGACTGAAATGTGCTAACAATCTGCATAATGTGTGATATTTATAGTATAAAGACTAATTACATTTATTTTTTTTCCAGGCAATCTGGATAAGGAATGTCAGCCATGCAGATAAATAAAATTCAGGGTTATTTGTTCTCTGTAATTGCTCTGGTAAACATTTTAAGTTTTACCTGGTGGGTGGAGGGGGTGGAGACATGTCCGTTTTTATCCCTGGATCCACTGGTGATTCCACTGAAAACACTGCACTGTAGAGAAGAGAATGTGGAAGATTCATATATAACAGCTTACATTACAAAAGTGTTTTTTCTTCAACTTTTAATGGTGCTGCACTGACATAATGAGCTATACATACAAGTGGACTTTATGCCTTAAAAATTCACTCCACTGACTGGTATTCAATAAAGAGTGTATATACTACCCACCAAGGCCCTTCACGTCCATATGTAACCCTTTGGTGTGCAGACATATCTGGATCCCATCTTGACATACAGCAAGGCCATAGCAAAATTATGGGTGATCTCTAACACCATCAGGAGAGGGCCCTGTTGTTAAACATGTGACTTAGTATTATGCTGCACAGACACCTGACTGTACAATCTCCTTCAGATTTACCAATATAGTGCAGGGCCTGCCTGATTGGATAGTCATTGTGCTATATAGTTGTTGGTAAATGTAGGGCGGAAAAAAAAAACAAACAAGAAAACACAACCCACTTACAGTGCTCTTATCAGCTGCTCTGCGTTTAATTTTGATTAAATCGAAGGAATTTCAACCCTAATATAGAACTCTGCCAACCACTTAATGGTCTTGTAGTTTAAACACCTAGCATTAGACCATCATAAGACCAAGTAGAGAAAGGACAGAAGAATACATCTTCCTTTACAAGGATGATGCACAAGTGAGCAGTGCTGTTTTGCTGGTTGAGACTGCCAAAAAATCTGCTTGTATTTTAAGGCTTTAATGCTTAACCGATACAGAATTATGCTTCAATTATGCAAAAAATCCTAGGATCGCACCACTCGTAGGAAGAGTGAGGGGACAGTAAGCTATTTTCTGTCAGTTCAGAAAGATTTGTCAATATCTGACATTCAGTTGCGAGCAGCAAAGATGTTGCCATTTTTAGTTTGGCAAGCTGTAAAGACACTTAAGGATCAAACATGTAATATATGCTGTAGTCCATTAAAGAAAGTCAAATTTTCCAGAAATATACGTAAAAAATTTTAACAGCAAAACATAACTGAAAATAGGTGGACATTTTTTCCACAAAATGTTAACCACTTCAAGAAAAATGCAGTCTGTCAGCCCATGTCTTGCTTTCAGGACAGGATCACAGTAGATTTATGTTTTTTTCCCCACCCCCCTTGAAATACTTAAATATGGTCTGAATCAAGTCCTCCTTTCACAAAAAGTATGGTTGCTCAGAGGAGGTAGATGGCAAAGTGGTGAAACACCTGCTTGTGTTCAACCAAGGAGTCTGCATACAGCACACATCCATGATTATCCACTTGACCTCCAGAAGATTCTACCCACTTCATGACCAGGGCATTTTTTCCTATTCAGCACTGTGCTACAAGCGTATATTAACCACTTGCCCTACAAAGGATTTACCCCCCCCCCCCCCCCCCCCCCCTTCCCGACAAGGGCATTTTTTGCGTTACGGTGCTGTGTTAGTTTAACTAAGAATTGCATGGTCATGCCAAGCTGCACCCAAATGACATTTACGTCTGTTTTTACCCCCCCAGCAAATAGAGCTCTTTCAGTGGTATCTGATCACCTGTGCGGTTATTTTTTGCACTAACAAAAAAAAAAAACCAAAAAACCAGTCATACATTTAGGCCAAAATGTATTCTGCTACATGTCTTGGCTAAAAATAATCCCAATACGTGTAAGTTATAGCATTCACAAATGGTGGTATATACACACTGGGATTTTTTATTTTTACTAATGTAATGTTGGCAATCAGCGACTTATAGCAGGACTGCAGCGGGCATTCCAACACTGGGAGGAACTGACCCTGTCACTGACATCCCCAATGACAACACAGTGCTAATAAAGAACACTGACACTGTACTAATGGCACTTGGCAGGAAGGTGTTAACATGTGGGGCGATCAAAAGGTTAACTGCTGTTTTACTAGGGGCTGTGTGCTTCACTGTAAGCACACTGCTTTGCATTACAATAGTCAGCTGTTATTCATAAAGTTTTATCCCAAAAGAAAAAAACGTTAGCTGGAGTTTAGCTTCAACTTGTTTGTTCCTCAACTTGTCCACCTAAATCTTCTGCTACATCTAAACACTACCCTCTCCCCAGGATGACAATACTATTGCTCAAGTAGAGTGGAGAAACTCCAAGACACGAAGTGTGTTACTGTCTGGATAACTAGGTAAAAACACCAATACAGCCACCACATTTAATGTAAAGCTAAAAAAAAAAAAAAAGTGTAAAAAAAAAAAAATTGATGTTGTCATACTACTGACTGTTTGACCTCACTAGTTGCAGATTCTATACCTCAGAGCCCCTCTCTCTCCCCTTCCCCTACATTCTATAATCATATTTAAGAAAAATATTCTAGCTTTGTTGTGGAGTCAAAAGTGAAGTACACAAGACACAGACGATATAGGCTATGCGACTGCAATTTACTTTACATGTGCGGGTGAAAACATTCTATGTGTACTATGACACTGTACAGTACAATGTTTGATACAGGATACTGGGCATTTAACAAAGCATATTTGGAACCATATGTTGCATTCACAGTATGGATGTGCTCAGATCTGTTTTCTTTACTGGATCATACCATTACTAATGGTTTAACCCTTCTTACACTATCCAAAAGAAATGGTTTGCTTTTTAGTTCTACTTGAACTGTTGGTAAGCTGCAATATACTAAATTGTTTTTGGGTTTCATATCCATATAGATTTCTAATTAAAGTCAACTATAAAACTAGATTACACAGCAAGGATCGGTTTTCTGTGTGTCTGGAACACAATATGATCAAACCAGCAGCATTTACTGAGGGCTAGTTCAAACTTACGTGTGTTCTAAAGCTTTCTCTACAGCCAAAAACAAAAAGTGGGTAACGTGGATTTCAATGGCATAGTTCACACCAGTGCTTGCAGTTCCAGTGTGTTCTGGTTCCAGAAAGAAAAACAAAACCACCACCACACATATGGAACGCACCTGGAAATGCATCAAAAATGTACCAGACAGTGGTTTGCTGGATTTGAGTGACTACCTGACCTCAATATTGATAGCTGAAAGTGGGTTGACACTAGGAACTTTTACCGATCTCCATTAATGTTCTATGTAATTTGTATACCTTATGCTAGGATATGCCAGATTGTGTACTTTTGGATATGTTTTAAAACGTTGGGAATCCGAATGCTCTATTTAACAACCCCCCCCTCCCCCCCCCCAACAAACAAAATAAATGTATTTTTGCAGCGCATTTACCATTTTGTTTTAGGAGCCTGGAAAGCACACACATGACTTCTCACCTGTTATCCTCAAAAATTCCAAACATATCAGCACTCTTTAGTAGAGAGAGGGCCACTTCTGCCGCTTTGTGCTTGGCTGCCTTCTTGCTGGGTCCTTGACCTAGAAGAATGGAGAACTATGAGAAACGATCATTTCAAGTGCCTTGTGCTCTGGATTTGGTTCCTGGGCAAAATTAACATTCCATATCTTCAGGACTTCTCTGGAAACATTCACTTATTCCCTGACCAAACAGCAGCAGCACCCCAATTAAGCTCCCAAGAATTATTTTTGGTAAATGCAAAAAAAAAAAAAAAAAAAAAAAAAAAACAAAAAAAAACCCAAAAAAACCCACCAGTAAAAAAAAAAAATAGCATATACAAACATTCCAAAAGGTTCCTATACATGCAGCGCAGCCCTTGCCACCACTTGGAATAGTGATTTGTTTTTTTCAGAAGTGTTTGACAGGCAGTGAGGAGGCAACATATCACTTCCTAACTGCTTAATTTACAATGGTGTTCACCACTGGTACCATCCATCCGTTTTACTGCTCCCTGGGCACACGTGAACAATCCAAAAGGCTCCGCTTACACCTGCAGCCAGTGAGGCAGGAAAACCCAAGTGATTGAGCTGAGGATTTAGAACCACTGGAGGGCTTGGTTTTATGGAAAGCATGCCAAAATTTGCTACTATGCACTGCACACTAGCACAATATGGCTTAAGCAGCCTGGGGCCCATGTATTTTTTTTTTTTTTTTTTTTTTTTTTTTTTTTTTTAAGTCCATAACCTTACTTGACAGATTTGCATCTAATCATTGTGCAGAAAGATTAATTTATGGTTCAAATTCAACATTAGGACAGATTCACAATCTCAAACAGACTTTAACCCCCCTAGCGGTCTGATTATGTCCATATTTCTGTGCTCAAAGCGGTATTTTTTTTGCATGGAAATATGTATTTTTTACTGTAGACCTGTAATTTTTAGGAATAACTCACTGAAATCTGTCCGAACAAGAGTCTAGTAAACATCCTGGGTATGTTAAAATTTGAAACACGAAATCATAAATTATAATTTAACCACTTGAGCCCCAGAGGATTTACCCCCCTTAATGACCAGGCCTTTTTTTGCTGTTTGGCGCTGCACTAATTCAAATGATTATTGCACGGTCATGCAATGCTGTATCCAAACTAAATAAACGTCCTTTTCACACAAATAGAGCTTTCTTTTGGGTATTGATCACCTGTGCGCTTTTTTATTTTTTGCGCTATAAACAAAAAAAAATCACGAAAATTTTGAAGAAACAATATTTTCTACATTCAGCTATAAAAAAAAAAAATATCGTAAACTCAAAGTTAGTCATAAAATTTAAGCCAAAATGTATTCTGCTACATGTTTTTTGGTAAAAAAAATCCCAATAAGTGTATATTGATTGCTTTGTGTGAAAGTTATAGCGTCTACAAACTATGGTATAGATACTGTAATTTATGCCTTTTTTTGCTATACAGCGCTGCACTAATTCAAATGATAATTGCGCGCGGTCATGCAATGCTGTACCCAAACAAAATCTACATCCTTTTTTTCACACAAATAGAGCTCTCTTTTGGTGGTATTTGATCACCTGTGCGCTTTTTATTTTTTGCGCTATAAACAACAAAAAAAAAAAAAAAAAAAAAAAAAAAAAAAAAAAAAAAACACGAAAATTTTGAAAAAAAAAACAATATTTTCTACTTTCAGCTATAAAAAAAAAAAAAAAATATCGTAAAACTCAAAGTTAGTCATAAATTTAAGCCAAAATGTATTCTGCTACATGTTTTTGGTAAAAAAAATCCCGTGCATTAGCGGGCAAACTGGCGCTATCTGGGAGGGGCGCTAACACTATCGGAAGTCGCCAGCGACACGGATACAGTGATCAGTAAAAATCTCTGTTCACTGATCAATGACACTGGTGACAGGGCAGTGAAGGGGTCAACTCAGGGTGGGGGCGATCAAGGGGTTAGACAGGATTATTGGTGTATTAGCGGGTAATCTGGCGCTATCTGGGAGGGGCGCTAACACACTATCGGAAGTCGCCAGCGACACCGATACAGTGATCGGTAAAAAAATTGGTTCACTGATCAGTGACACTGGTGACAGGGCAGTGAAGGGGTTAACGGGGGGGGGGGGGGGGGGGGGGGGGGGGTGGGGGGGATCAAGGGGTTAAACGGGATTACTGGTGTACTGGCGGGCAAAAATCTGGCGCTATCTGGGAGGGGCACTAACTCTATCGGAAGTCGCCAGCGACACCGATCAGTAAAAAATCGCTTCACTGATCAGTGACACTGGTGACAGGGCAGTGAAGGGGTTAACTGGGGGGGGGCGATCAGGGGGTTAAATGTGTCCTAGGTGTGTTCTAACTGTAGTGTAGTGCTTGTGTACTCACTTTTTGGATGTCTTCTTCTCTGTCTGGAACGGAATGTGTCCAGGCAGAGAAGAATGACATCATATCCTACCCTGTGTATATGTCAACACAGGACAGGATAGGACAGGGACCGATCATGTGATTTCAGCCAGAAATCACTGGCTGAAATCTAATGATTGATCCCTCCTGGATCAAATCGTGTCACCCGCGGGTCGGCGGGAGCGCGCGCACGCCCCCTGCCGGCGAAAGTGTCGGGAGCGCGGAACCCATTTTAAAAACGTGGTTTTGCGCTCCACTGCCGCCCTGCACACGTATATACACAGTGGCAGGGCGGCAAGCGGTTAATAAAAAAAAAAAAAAAAAATCAATATAATCAAACCAAAAACACTGAAATTTGAAATATAGCACCAAGTTTGCACATCGCTGAGCAAAGCTGCAAAATAGTTTTCAGTGTCTGATGACGAATTTCCCCACGAATCATCACTCAATTCTGCAAGTAGTTCTAATTTACTATCGCTGTTCTCTAGCTGGTCTAAAACAGATTTTTACCTAAAAAAGGGACGCTTTTTGGATGCCATGGTTGTTTCTCAGTTTCCAGGCAGAAAGAACAGTAAAAATGCAGGCAGGGCACAGGACAAAGCACTAGAGACAAAATGTATGTGAAATGCTTTGATACAGTAATGTTTTACTATGGTATTTTAGTGAATGTCATTTGTCGTCATTTTCAAATTTCCCGCCAGTTCCGTCCCCGTACATCCCAGGGGATGGAACCCAGAAGACAGATGCCGGCATCTGCTGGGAGGACATTACAGGGGACACTGCAGGAGGGACATCGCAGGACATGGTAAGTGAAGAACAGATCCCGGAGCAGCTCCGCATGGTAAGTCCGAGTGTAGCTCGGGGTTACCGCTTGTGGTACTTAAACTTTACCCCCGAGCTACACTCGGGAATACAGCCAGGGAGTTTAATGCAGAAGGTATAGCCGATTTGTTAACGGAGCTGCCCAGGCCTTGATGCAGCAACACAACTCTGCACCATAACATTTCTACCACTGTCAGTTATGAGGTTACTCTCTAGGAGTTTTGTCTTTGGAATATAGGTCTGTTACCAAACAGCTCTACCTTTGATTGGTCAGTGTTCAGCACATTGTTCCAGAAAGCCTGGTCTTTGCCTATGTTCAATGGCAAACCAATTTTGATCTAATGTACTTTTTGGACAGCAACACGTCTCAAAAAAGGTGGAATTGAAGTAGTCTGATTATAGATACATGCATTTCAGGGTTGTGGAAATTTTTGAAAAAACTACTTGTCCATGGGACTAAATTGGTGTCCCAATCTACTTGTCCCTCCTGACAATCTACTTATCCAGATATAAAAAAAAAAAAAAAAAAAAAAAAGTTATTTAACCAAAACCGTATTTAAAATGCGGAGGTGATATTAGGAAGGTTTTAAAAACAAAAAGGGGTTTTATGGTGACTTAAACATTTAATATTGCGCTGTTTATCTTCCTCCCCTCCATGCCTGTCTGCAGCACTGCACTCAAGGACTAGCAGGGAGGGGAAAGACCTTGCAGTGTAATGAGCACTGATTGGGCACTTGTCAGGAAAGGGGAATGCTGGGCTTTCCCTGCCAGAGCCGGGGGGGGGAAAACACACGCACAAGGGGGAGAAACACACACACACTATTGTAGGCCTGAAGATTACACAAAACCCTCAAACATGATATATTTTCTGAAACCAGAGACCCTAGAGAATAAATTAGTGGTAGTTCCAATTTATGTCGCATGATATTACCACAAAATTTCAGTAAAAAAAACCCCCACACAAGTTAGTTAAATTTTAGGGCACCAAAAAAAAAAAAAAAAAAAAAAAAAATATATCAAGTTACACTTACGGTAACATCTTTTCCAGGAGTCTTTCAGGCCAGCACTCTGAGAGACCCCGGCTCCTCCCCATCTGAGGAAACACCTCCACCTACAATAAAAAAGCTCCACTCCCCTCTGACCTCAGTTCTCCAAGCATCCTCCGGTCATCTGGGGAGACACAATGCGAGACAATATAATCGTAATAAGCCATCTTCACATAACAAATATCAACACGGGTGGGAAACCGGTGCTGGCCTGAAAGACTCCTGGAAAAGACGTTACCGTAAGTGTAACTTGATTTTTCCCCTACCGTCTTTCAGGCCAGCACTCTGAGAGGATAAGCGAGTACTCACCCCTCGGGCGGGCTGCTTGCAAGACCTTACGACCAAAGTCCTGCTCCTGCACCGAGACCAGGTCCAGTCTGTAATGCTTGGCAAATGTGTCATAGCTGGACCATGTTGCCGCTCTGCAAATCTGCCCTGGGGAAACCCCTGCTAGCCGCCACCGCTCGGGTGGAATGTGCCTTGATACCCTCCGGGACCTCCAGGCCTTCCGCCTGATATGCTCCTGCAATCGCCAGCCGCAGCCAGCTGGCCAGCGTCCTTCTAGACGCCTTCTTGCCTCTTCTAGCCCCCTTAAAAAAAACAAAAAGGGATTCGGTGCTTCTGAACTCCCTAGATTTCTCTAGATACTGGAGAACGCACCTTCTTACATCCAAACAATGATACCTCTCCTGATCTACCCCCACCGGGTCAGGAAAAAACGAGGGAAGGACAATGTCCTGTTCCCTCTGGAAACTCCGAGCTACCTTCGGAATGAAGGACGGGTCCGGTCTGAAAACGATTCTGTCCGAAAAAATACG